TCTGAATGAGTGATGGCGTATTCCTATTATAGCTCCCAATGTAACGATAATGCAAGCTTTGTTTACAAGCTTCATTTTGAGGATTCTTGAAACTATGGGCTAGAAAGAGAGAAAGCTTTTTTGAAGATGGAAATCTGATTTGAGGTTTATATAGAGGTAGAAAAGGTTGTGTCGTGTGATAAAGCAATTGAGGAAATGTAGGGTTTGTTGTCTCATTGGTGAGGTTCCATGCTGGTATGTCGTAATCGAGTATGGTCTTATAGACGTTGTTGAGTGTATCCGTACAACCACCGTGATGTATAGTCCTTTTCCTATTTTGTTCTCATTTAGAACAAATTAAATAGGAATCCTCCTTATAAATAACCAGAATATGTTTTCTCCAATTGTTTACATTTATGTGATGTAAATAGATAGTTAATTAGTATTTAAGATGATGCAAATGGTTTATTTATACAACACGATGTTCAAAGCATAGAATTACACAAAACTTATTGAAAAAAATTTGGTCACTAGTTAAAACTTAAAATCCACGAGGACGCTACTTACTCATGAAATTTACAACACCATATTTATGACAAATCTACACCCTCAACCTGTTGTCGAGCAAGGTATTTCTCCCTTCTTTCTTTCTACATAGGAGATCAAATAACAATAGTTAGAAGTCAATACATGCTAATGAGAATCTAAAAAAAAAAAAAAAAACTTTTGGATCAAATTTGATTTGCAAAATGGTGGCCATCAGATGAATTTGATCCAAGGGCTGTGATTGAGTTCTTAGACTCTTCACACTTTTTAAGTTCTCATTATAATTGTAATTTCAACTTACCCATTCGTCTATAACCATCCCTTGGCCAACAACTTTTGGAGAATTGTCAACTGGAGGCTTTTTTCGTATCTCTAATTCAGCTTCAGCTTCAGCCAACTGATGCTTTAGTTTTTCCAATGCCTAAATACATCAAAGCTTCATGTCAGTTTTATATCATGATGTCATGAATTCATGATTATATATAACAGAACATAACAAACTTACAGGGGTAGGACGTTCTGCATTCAAGAAAATAACACGTAAAATTCGCTCAACAACTACTTCATTCTTTTGTTCATCAAACTGTAAGATTGTTGAATTGTTGAATGTTTGTTTTGTTTGAACAGATGTTGATTATTTAAAGGGGAAAAAGAAAAGTTACCAATTCGGGAACATAGTCTGTTCCTTCTTTCACTTTCAGGCTCATGATCTTGAACTTAACTTTACTCCTTTGGTTTGGTTGTTTTTCGTTTTTCTCAGGTTGCTCAACAAACTTGAAAACTGTCATTAATTTATGTCAGTGAAGAACACATGACGACATAAATGAAGAAAGAAGAAGGAAGAAGGAAGATAGATCGTTACCTGTAGCAATAATGGTTTCTCCGGGTGCCAGAATACCACCAGGAGGTCGCATGTAACAGCTCTTTGGTGCAGTAGTTTGAAACTGATGACATTAATCCATCAGATTAAGATCTTGTTGAACAATTACATCAGATTAGGTCAAAATCAAAGCATAAATTAGGTGAGATACCTTAAAAGCGACATGAGAGCTGCTATGGTTCTTGATTCGAACAGCACTTCTCACCTGTTTACCAGGTTCATCTTCAATAACAAAAATCAAAGTGAACAGTCAGATATCATCTCATCAAATCGTTGTAAATCAATACATGATTTTGCCTAGTGATATTCAGGAACATCGTTTAATCACCGATATGGAAACGAACAGAATCAATGTGAACGATTTAGTCAGTAAAAACAGAGAACAGAGACTTCATTAATTACGAACGATAAGATGATAAACGATTCAGCTGACATGAAAACATAAAACGATTACTCACAAGGAAAATAAAGGTTGTTAGCCGGATCAAGGCGGAGTCTTCGCCTAGCTGGTAGGAGCGATTTCGCCACCGAGGATACCTTACTGGAAGTCCGACGGTTCGATTTGACGCCATTTTCATGGCTTTTCTGAGCCTGAAATTGAAGATTCCGCGTCGATGAAAACGACGAAGAAGGTGTTCCAGATTGCCAAAACGGACATAGTCGCCAGGGCTTTCCATCTGAATGAGAACGGCGGTGATCGGCGATAGACATGACTAACTTATTGCAACAGTTCTCCTTATTTGTAACAGCTCACACCACACAAGTAAAGATTAAGAACTCCGGTTGACGGAATTAAAATTTTCCGGCGAAGTAGCGGCTTAAGCTCTTTGATTCATATGAAAAGTGGAAATAACGATATCGGACTTGAAATGTATGGAATTGAATTTAATTTCTGCTTGATATCCGTCCTCCTCACACTTTGGTGCTCGTCTTGCAAGTATCCGGAACTTGAGCTCTGTCTCTAATGGCTGTTCTGTTTGTACCTCTGTACTGAAATGGCCTTTCCTGACAAATGAAATTATGCCTGTTCATTCACATATTACTATCTTTCTAAGTTTCAAACTTTGCAAGTTTCTCCCCTGGTTTTCTCCATCATTACAAACTACCCCTAACTTAATTTTATTTTAAAAAAATAATAATTTGAGACATCATCAATCTTATAATCTAATTTTGTTTATCCAAGTATCTAATTAGATGCTAAAACTAGGCTTCAACAAGTTAAGTAATAGTAAGTGAGAATAGATAATATTATAATATATGTCATTATTGGTTGAGATTAGACATACATATTAGGTTGGATCTTGGATCTTCCTTTCTAACCTAAGTCTTAAAAGCAAGGAGGTCAACCCAAACTCTGTATATGGATCACAACAAGAAGAGTTAGTGAGATTCAGAGTAAGAACCTGAAACCTCTTAATGACTAGGTTAGTATGTAGTCATGTGTATATTGAGAGTGAATATTATTCAGATGCAAAAGATATATGTATCTTACAATATTTCCATTACCTCAAACAGGAGATGACCTTGTCATCAGACTTGGATATCTGAGAGTTAAAGGGTGATGAGAGGCAAAGTAATTTGGACTGATTCGATTGACTGATAGCTACAAGGTCAACACATCGTCTGTTGTGATGCTCCCCAACTAATTAAGTTCGACCCCTAGCTTATGATCGTTATACCTCAGTGATTTTTAGGTGGTGGTGAGACCAACTTGCAGATCGGTTACCTTACTGATGTGTCTTCTGGCTTCGAACTTAAGTCCTTCCGAACCTTTTTCTTTAATAGGAGAAATATGTTATTAGTGGATCTTAACTTGTTCCACATGTTTCTTTATATCTATTTTCTTATATTTTATCCTTATGACATTTTATCAATAGATTTGATAGGGTTAATGTAGTGATCATCTCATATTTATATCCTTTTCGCTTTTTTGTTAATAAGAAACAACAATTTGATATGTATAAATTCAATCAGTTTTCTTCTTGTCGAAAATTAGTTCAAATACTTTACATAAAGATCAATATATATTTAAAAAAAATACTTACCTTTTAAACAGAACGGTTACTGATTTCCTACTATAGTTAGTCAGAGTACCCTTAGTCCTTGAATATCAGGGTTATAATTAAGTTAAGAGATGGCTTAGAAGATAAAAATGTTATGAGGGTTATAATTAAGTTAAGAGATGGCTTAGAAGATAAAAATGTTAATGTATAGGGCGTGTATGTATATAGAAAACTATAAAAGGGGGCGAAGTGAAATTTATGGAAAGTATTGTGTAGGAATTTAATTCAATATAGCAAGTAGGTGTATATCCTAGCTGTTTGAAGTGGAGACTACATGATTAAACTCGGTTTCATAATTAACCAATTAGCCCATATCCTTCTAATGCCACGTAATCAACAATAATACCGAATCAGCAAAAAGGCGGAAACCACCCCCACGTAAGCGTCAGCGCAGGTAGTTTTTCTCTTTACCTTTTTATATATTTAATGCTGTAAAATATAAAGGTTTTAAAGTTATACTTTTCTTAAATAAAATTAAGTGATAATATGTTTTTGTACTTGATTCGCTATTTAAAAGTAGTCTCATAACACTTTAAAAATGGCGAAGTTCGACTGGTTATATGATATTAGGGTTATATAATATTACGAAAGTAACATATTTTTAGGATAGATCAAATGAGCTTGGATAGTTAGATGGATCTCTTAACATTTTTGTGTATTTTTCTATTTGTATTTCATAAATAATACTTAAAATAAGATTATAAGTAATTATAATTCTAAATAATTGTCCAATTCTCTTTTAAATAATCACCTTAACAATTCTAAACATTTGAATATATTTTCATTGACTTTAAACCCATCGAGATACACATTTACCAACAATTGGAATGTTACTGAATAAATAAGTTCAAAATCGCCAATGAAAGTGCCAACTCAAATATCTTCCTAGACACATGTCATGAGACCCGTTCGTTCGTACACGTAATAAATACATGTAGATATCTATATTACTTTTTATTTTGCTTTAGCATACGTTAATATCCTTACATTTATTGTTTTTAATCATTTACTTGTTTTTTTCTCTAACCAAATTTATAAAAACGGACAATGGTTTTTTGGATGTGTGTATCCAAACACAAACCGACAGGATAAGTATGCCTAAGTCAACTAGTACTACAGTCAATATGAAAAGATAAATCATACTATATATATATATATATATATATATATATATATATATATATATATATATATATATATATATATATATATATATATATATATATATATATATAAAGTGATAGAGAATTTAGATGTTTAAATATGAAAAAGGCGTAGTGATGTGATAATTGATTGTTTGATTAGGGCGGTGAGAGTGAGTTGTAGTTGATACTTCCTCTACCCCACAAAGGATATATCACATTAATGCCTAATAATTCACTCACCATTTAATTCCTTTCAGAAAGCTGTTCAACCAACCCAAAATGGTGTCACAAAAAAAAAAATTATATTATAAATTAAGAAACATGAGCTTTATCCTCTTGATGTTTATATGCTTAGTTTTATAGCCCCCAAGACAATCACACATTTCATTTGTTGTAGAATTGCAAAAATAAAAACGTTGAATATACATATAATATCCGCATTTCAGATTTAAAATTATAATTAATTACTTGATTTGGATATGTAGTGCGACTGTGACACATATTTAGCAAGTTATATAAATATGAGATTAGAAGGGCCTAGTGTTTTATTTTTCTAATCAACATCCAAGATCTTAAAAATAATTAAATTTCAACAAATAACATAATAATTTACTTTTTAAGACCACCATGTAGCATCATCATCATCATCATCATCATCATCACGTGTTCTAAAATCGGTTTCTGTCCACTGACCAAACACCACTCTATCATCATCTATTTCTACACGAGCGAGTTCCAAAGACTGTTAACACACGATGATAAATTAGCAACATGTACTTCGTGCATAAAGACTTGTACTTTTTTTTGGGGGGGAGAAATTAAGTAATAAGTACTTACCATAGAAGCAGGACCTTTAATGAGTTTCCCATAATTATCAAATTGAGAACCATGGCATGGGCACATAAATTTCTTTTCTACTGTGTTCCAAGGTACAATGCAACCTAGATGAGTGCATACTGAATTTATCCCGTATGTTGCTATACTTTTGTTATTCTCCACAATAAGGTACGTTGGATCTCCCTATAATTTAACATTTTGCAATTTGAATAACAAAATATATAAAATAGTTTGTAAGGGTTTTTGATTGATACCTTTAAGCCTTGAGTAAGGGTTTTGTCACCAGGTGTATGGGTGTTCACCCATTCTGATGCAATAATATTGTTTCCAATCTCATCCCTAGCGTTGATACCACCTTCCCAAGTCGCTGAACTGTTTCAATTCCCAACACAAAATATTAAAAAATTGACACATTTCAAGGGAATCGGAATTTTTATTTCGAAATAGTTGAGGAAACAAATGTTGGAGATGAATGCCAAATCATAATCAATGAGCTAGTGTTAGTGGTTAATCTGCATCAGAACAAAAATTGATAGCTCCATAACTTTCTATAAGGAAATCGACTGACAAATTGATGAAATGAACAAAAGAATTAGGGTAGGAAGAGGACGAACCTAGGTCGAGTGGTATAAGGTGCTAACATGCCGGCGGCGGGTAGACCAATGGCGCCGAATAGCAACAAGTTCATAAGCTTCCTCCTCTCCATAACAGAAACAACGTCGGCGCCAATGCTTGCTGATGCCTGACATGTCACCTTCATCCCCTTTTCAGTTACCGCCGTTTCAAATCTGGCCGATTTCGCCGTTAGTCCTTTGGTCGGTGAGAAGAGTCCGTTCTTGCTAGAACAGCACTGTTAAGATTCAAATCGAATTGAATTAGAAAGCTGAATGTAAGAAGAATTAAATGCAAGCACCATTAAACATGAAGTCGGAACTCGGAATCTAGTTTAGGAACCTGTAACTAAAACGAGCTCTGATTCCAAAATCTCAAACATCGAACTCTATGTTAATTTACCTGAGAATTGGCCGGAGGAATTGTGAGAGCAGCCATGGTAGGATAATAGAGTTGACTCTGTTGAGATTAATGTGGATTTGGGAGCAAGAAGGTGCAAAATGAAATGTGGGAGCAGTCGATGGAAGATGAGTGGCACTAGGATCCACGTATTCAGCTCAAAATATCAAATTTAATGGTTTTCCTTTTCTTTTGGGTTTAATAAATTTAATAGGTTAACACCTTCTTCCCCGGTTTAATTGACTTTCATTAAACAAAAGAAAAGAAAGGGAAGTAAAATATGGAGAGAAAAGAAAGGAAGGGGAAGGAAGTGATTAACTTTTTCGGATTCCCGAGTTCAAAGGAAAGGAAAAGAAGTTTTTTAAAAAATGTTTTCCCGAGTTTGAAGAAAAAGAAAAGAAAAGAAAGCTAAATAACAACATTACAATTTTATCCTTATTTTTTTTAGCAACATTATTACATACATAGTTGAAATTGAAAAAAAAATGTTGATTTGCATGTTAACATCATATTTGTTGTCTAAACATTCGTTAATACCACCTACATATAATATTAAATTAAACTATCAATGAGTAGCAAAACATAAATAATATTAAAATAAAAAAAGTTGTGGATATCTTTTAATAGCATTTATCTAATTGAAAAGAAACCAAACTATAAAAATCATCCAAAACAATGCAATTTAATCCAACTATGATTCCAAAAACCATAATTCAATTCGTGAAACAAAAAAAAATCTGAACAAAGAACCAAGAAATAAACACCTATTCTTCCAATTCATCATTTACATGTGCCCATCATTGTTTTTAGTATATCTTTCCTTATGTCATTGGACAAGTAAACAACGTCCTCGCATCTGCTTGGTTACGAGCCAAATACATGAGAGCACCTGGTATTTCATGGGCTTCCAAACCCATCGGCTGCAATTCTTGATAAATTTCATCACATGTTAACTCATGATGATAAGCTCTTTCAAAGATTTTGTTACCATCCCTCATAGCATTAGCCACATCACCAACAACATTCATAATCTTTGTTTCAAATGTTTCAGGTTCAGGTTGAGGCTGAGGTTCAACTTCCTTTTCTACTTCGTCTACGAGTTTTCTTTTTTTAGTTTTACATTTTTTCGCACTTGAATTTTGTTCAGGTGTAGGAGACACCACTTGAATGTCATCTTCATCATCATCCACACGTTGGTTCTCCAGTGTAACATCATTACTTGCTAATAAAGGGTTAACCTCTGAAATACTTTCTATTTTGATGTGCGTTGTGTTGTTAAACCTAGCATTTCTTTCCTTTGTAGTTTCAGCATTTTCTCCGGAAGCTCTATCTCTTGCAAATAATACCAACATTTGTTCAAAGTGGGCCACCTTTTTTGTCTTCAGTGCAACTGCATCAGGCTTTGACTGTTTAAAACCCCCAAAATACATTAAAATTATTAATAATAACATAATATAAAAATAAACTAAATACAACCTTAAATGAAAACTAACCTTAATTAAGTTATCCCAAACCTCTTCATATGCTTCAATTAGTTGAGTATCAGCATTCCAACCGAACCCACTCAAGAAAATCTCATTGAACATGGCATACCATTGTGAAAAAGTAGATTTCAAAGTTTTCAAACGATTTTTTAGATGACTTTTAGTTAAATTCATTGTAAGTTTCTTATTGAGCTCCTCAACCATATTCACATACGCTTGTGAAGTAAAATTTCCATAAGGCCTATTTCCTTTTTTTTGTTGTTGTACCATTGCATCAACAAATGCAGCATCCATATGTTCTGTCCTGTTCAAAAGTGACTTCTTACCGGTATTTACAGTAGGTTCTTGCTTGTTCATTATCGGGTTCTACATAACATAAAAAGAAACATACATTATTAAAAAAAGTACATAGTTATAAAGTGTACAAGTTATAAAAAATAACATAAAAAAAATTTAATAACACAAATAAATTCACAAAACAATGTTCAATAAAAATTCAAATTGCAAATGAAGTAATATAACGAAATACTCTTAAACTATGTTGACATATTTATTTCATTGTTTGGATTCAATAAGTAATTAGTCCACATTTGATTTTCAATTGAGTTCCTAAGTTGCTCTGCCATGTTGTTACCCTCACACGCACCACTTGAATTATGTCTCACTTCCTCTGTTGGTGCACTTAACACCTCCTGTAATACCTCATCTTCAAGATCTTTGTCACGATCTTTAACTATCAAAAAGTTATGCAAAATACAACAAGCCAAAAAAAATGTATGATTGTGTTTCACAAGAATAAAAAGGTTCTTGTGTACTTCTAATGATAGGGAACCTTCTTTTTAGAACACCAAATGCCCTTTCTATAGCATTACGTAATGAAGTGTAACGAAGATTGAACAACTCTCTAGCATTTTGTGGTGTCCGAGTGGAATATTCTTTTAAATGATACCTAACACCTCTATATGGCGCCATTAATATAGTTGAGTGAGGCAAACCCACGTCTACTAAATAATAGCGACCTATAATTAAATTGTAATTAGTTTTTTAATAATAATTTAAACTAAAAAATAAAAAGTTGGTACTAGAAATTACCATTTGGAATTACTAATTTATCATCTCTATTAAGCGCATTCTTTAGTACCCTTGAGTCTGATGCAGTACCCTCCCAACCGGTTAAAACATACGTAAACTTTAAATCAAATGAACAAGTAGCGAACACATTTATCGTTGGGTAACACTTGCGGCCACGATATCTAGAGGCATCTCTATTAGGTACTTTGACACGAACATGTGTACCATCAATTGCTCTTACACAGTTCTTGAAGTAAGGAAAGAATCTCTTTTTCTCTTGAATTTCTTTGGGGACAACATCACCTTGTGGTTGTTGAATATAAAGACTTTCTAATGCTATAACCGAGCGCAAAACTCTATGGAAGCACCTACTCGTTGTGGATTTCAAGCGCCGATACATCCAAGAGACAAATGTATTTCTCAAATCATTACCTACAATGTGCAAAAATCTTTCAACGTGCTCTTCAACAGACATCCATTGAGAAGGTCGAAGACCACCATCATGTCGTAAGATAACACATAGCTTCTTAAAAGTTTGCTCACTCATACGGATAAGCTGACGACATTGACCATCATTTGAAAGGTTATGTAACAACTCTTCCCGTACACGTCGACGTTTTAAAAGAGTTTCTCTAGTAGGTAAATTAGGACCATTGTTGATGGTAAGTTTGCGTTGTACCAGAATAGCAATCAACAAGCAAATTAGATGAACAACTTGCATTTGTCTTGATTTCAAAATATGACCGGGTGAAGGAAGGTCAATATCCATTGAAATCAATGTGACCTATTTTACGTAAAAAATGTGAAGGATTATTAAGAGGCCATGGAAATTTTAAGAAGGGCTTACGTGGGTCATCTAACCCACCTTAATTTTTAAAATTAATTATAATTATTGTAGAAAAAAACTTAGGAACCACCTTTGAAAATTTTGAGGAATCACCTTAGCTTTTTGAATAAAAATTTAGAAAATAACTCTTGAGGGAAATTAACTTTTGTGTTTGTACTCATTTGGTCATTTTCCTTTTTTTGTATTCAATATACCATTGAACTTGTTGTTTGTGTTCACCATAACCCTTTTGACCGGCTTTTGACCTGTGATAGCCGGTCAAAGGGTTATGGTGAACAAAAACAATAAGTTCGATGGTATATTGAGTACAAAAAAAAAAAGGAAAGAGACCAAATGAGAACAAACTCAACAGTTGGTTACCCTCCTGAGTCATTTTCCCCGAAAAGTTAAATGAAATTAAAGTTGCAAAATTATCAAAAACTGCAACCTTCTTTCGCTATAACGTATATGAAGAGCGTTTCAGAGGGGTAACTTCATTAAAACTTGGTCTATGTTATGCTTACTGTGGTTAGCTGTCAACACCTCTCTTCAAAAGGATATGATTGCCTATGAGAGGTATATTTATCAGCATAAATGTTTACCTCAAGGTATATTATGGTGATATGTCTGCAAAAGCAGCATGAAATTGTACATATTGATGTTGTATCTTTTCCCATGAATTCGATTTTAAAGCTAAGTAAACTCAAAAATCACAGAACTTATGATTCCACTCGTTTGTAGTTTTGTCTAAAATCCATGATACGATAAATCATTCTATTGTAAATGTAAATGTAGTCATGAAATGTGTCTGCTTAGTCAAGATTCCCCTAATAAATATTCAAGTGCATTACAAAGGTGTGCATGTATGAATAGTGTTCTTTCGTGGGTTATGTTTTGAAGAGAATCAAGAATGAATCTCATAAAGTCATTAATATCAGTAGGAGATGACGTGGGATTTGCTGTAAATGGGTAAAGGGAAAATGACTCAGGAGGGTAACCAACTGTTGAGTTTGTTCTCATTTGGTCCCTTTCCTTTTTTTTGTACTCAATATACCATCGAACTTGTTGTTTGTATTTACCATAACCTTTTGACCAACTATCACAGGTCAAAATCCGGTCAGAAGGGTTATGGTGAACATAAACAACAAGTTCGATGGTATATTGAATACAAAAAAAAAAAAGGAAAGGGACCAAATGAGTACAAACGCAAAAATTAATTACCCTAAAGAGTCATTTTCCCATTAAAATTTACTCATAGTTCCTTTGGTAGGCATGAATTTTTGACTTGGGTTGTATCCGGTTTAGATGAGTGTTGTTTATTTTAATCAAATATTTTGCAATACTTCTATATAAACTTTGTTAAGTTGTTTATAGTTTCAATTTTGATATCGTTTTGGCCAACAAAAAGCTTTATTATTTTCATTTGTAAACGTGTAATCGACCCACTCATTCATAACATTCTGTAAAAATCAATAGAAAATTTTGTGTTTATTATTTTGCAGCAAAAACAACCATACATCCAAAATAAAAGCAAGGGAAAAATAGTCCAACATGAGATACTTTGACAATTGCATTGAGTAATAGTTAATGCATGTATTTGCTATTGAAAGGAACAATCACAAAATGTTGTTGACATGTTATACATCCCTTTGTCGTCAGAATGAGTGTGTATGAGGACTGGATCAATGGATCTTGAAGAAACAAATCCAGAAAAAAAAAAAAAAAAAGGTTGTAAACATATATTGAACCAGAGGAAACTTGTAATGATGTTCTAAACATATTATCACAAGAGGAAACATGTAATG